CCCCTCCTCAAAAAATAAAAGAAAACAGGGGGAAAAAAATAAAAAAGTAAAAAAGTTTCCCTATCGCTTGGTTCGTTCTTAGTTAACTGAGTTTAATCAACTCACAGAGAGGTGAACTCCCTTGGATTTACAGAATTCTCGCAGTTTGGTCTGCTGCCATGATGGATGGCACTCAACTTGGTTGACAGCTGGTGGAACACAAGCTACATCCAATAGATCACCCAGCTTTTTGGTGGAGAAATTGCTAACCCCAATAGCCCGGGCCTTACCAGTATCATAGAGTGCTTCCATGGCCTTCCACGTGTTAGGTATATCAGCAGGAACAAGATCTTCTGGTTTAAAGCCAACGGAACCCTTCCTCCTCCGGACAGGCCAATGAATCTTCACAAGTATACAGATCGATTCAGTAGCATAATGATATAAGTTTCAAACAGAGAGGCAAAATATCCCCACAAAAGAAAGAGCCAATTATACAACCCCTTAAAACTATTACACATCGTTTCAACTTTGATAACCAGGTAAGCAACTAAATAATCATTAGTTAAAGCAGTTTTAGTTGTCTCCATAATTCAACAAGGGCTTTAAGGTTACTATAGAAGGTGTCTACAAATGAAGGAATCTGAAGTATTATGTATATAAGCATTTATTTGATTCAGTTATTTCCACACATACCATATTGTCTTCTTATAAAAGGTAATCTTGCATCCACTATTAAATCGTAAAAACTCAATAAAAGGTTAATATCATGAAAAATTACGTACAAGATACAAATCAAGATAGTCAAGTTGCAATTCTTCCAATGATTTATCTAATGCCACGGGCACATCTTCTGGTGCATGATCGGTACACCTGCAGAAATTAAGAGATCAGTTCTAGCTTGAATGTTCAGAAAGTTAACAGTAAAAACCAGATGTTAAAGAGAAGAGTAAGATGAAGCAATTAAATATGAACTATAATGTTCAAGTACATCAAGACTAGCATTGCATCACACCCAAAAAGAAAGTGAAGTGGCAAGTGCAAAGAGAGTGTTATATATTACATACCCATATATATTACAAAAGTGAATGTACAATTGCACAATGCACATCCATTATATTGGAAAATTTGTTTATGCCACCGTATAATGGAAGATGTTCTAGTTACACTTCAAAATTGAAGTGTTCACATAACAAGTTTCATCGATAAGCTTTAAATAGCAATTAAACATATTCAAAAATTAAAAATCACAGGGGAGTTCTGCATTCTCCTAAACGAAGTCAGAACCAGATCACTTCTTGAATGCTTATCAAAATAATTCGATTACCAGAGTTTGGAGGTAATAAATAAATCCTCCCTCTTCACAACTCCATCATCAAACAGCTTCTTTAAAACTGAACCTATCTGCAAAAAAGGAACAGAAGATGCTCACACGATATATATAGTCATGGTGTCTGAGAATATGGAATCCTTGACCTTAAATATGTCTTGAACCAAAATGGGACACAAGCCTCATTTTTGAAGTACCAATCCACTACCCTCAAGTTAAATTACATTTATCATTTCAGGAGAAGAGAAATGTATAAATACACACAGCTTACTAATGTATCTTTACATAAATGGATCTTATGCCTGAATGACAGGGATAGAATGAAAAACATACCTCCTTTTCATTTCCATACGCTCGAGCACAGTCAATATGGCGGTATCCAACCTGCATAGAAGTACTAGGGATTGATTAACTGTAAGTTTCTATAAAAAATACAGAATGACAGTAATTGAGACTTCCTTACTAGAAAAATCTAAGAATGCGCACACAAAATTTTTTTCCCATCGTACAGTAGCTATATTTTCCATTAATTCTCATCTGCTCATCCATAAGACGAAAAAATATCTGTGCTAACCACAATTGATATCAAACTTAAGCAGATCAAATCCAAACACTTATAGCTTTTGACTCTCATATTTTCCATCTTCATGATTCAACCTCAGCATAATAATCACCAGAAAATGATATATCAATCTCACAACAGTTGTCATTGCTGTTGCTCTGAATTAATAATTTGGCTAACAGCAAAACTAATAACATAAACAAAAAGTATGAAGGCTGCAACAAATGTTTTACATACGGTCTTATGCAATGATCCTTCCAATTAAGCATGTAGTCCGCTCCTAGGCTCTAGCAGTGGAACAGTAGCTAGCACTGTAAGCAGTTTACCTGCTAAAATATCATCACAAATTTTGGACAAACATTGATGTATTGAATGCAACCACTTTTTTCCAAAAGCTATAGTTGATATGAGATTTGCAATCAAACCCTATATCACCCAGGATCAGGCCCCAATATCTACCCAAGCACTATCGCTTTGGAGCCCCCTCCCCTTTTACAGTAGGCCAACCCCATGTTCAATTGGTCAGTGCTGCTCCGCATCAAACGTCCCCTCCAATTCAATTTCAATGTCCTATTTTTGTTCAATCACACCACTGAAATTGGAGGGGAAGCAAAACCCCAAAACATTTTCCATGTAAAAATCGGCTCAAAGTTTCTAATACGCACATCTCTAGATGTCCTACATAATTTATACATTTAAATCATTAAAAAAAATTTATCAAATACATAATTAAGTAATCACCTAAAAAGCTATTCACAAGTCACAACTGGAACAAAATAAACACAACCAGCATTTCGATTTGCAAAAGTTCACAAAATTTAAAAAATAAAAATAAAAAACGCACTCGTATATATTTCCACATACGAGTTCAATTAAGTTCCAGGGAAGATTAATGACACACGAAGAGACACAGATGTACATATACACACGACCGGCATCTATAATGTACATGATGAAGGTAGAGAGACCTTGACGGCGGTTTCAACAGCTTGACCGACGAGACCAGCCTCGGACTGCCACGTGCCGAGGCCAACCGAGGGAATTTTTGCTCCGGTGTTCAACTCGAAACATGGAATCTCCTTCGCCATTATCAGGATTCACGACTTTGTGTAGATACAGAAATCGAACCAACAGAGGAAATGTCGAATAATGAATACAGCACTAAAAGGGACAGAGTGAGGACATCGAAGGTTTTCTCTCCTTATTATTGAGCTGGACAAGAGAATCTTTGACCTCTTGTATCTTGACCGCCAGTTCCATCATGCGTGCAATATCTACGGCTAATATCGCTGGAGAGAAGCCTGGCCGGCTTGGGCATATCTTGAGCGTTAATTCGAGTTTCCGTTACAACGAAAAACTCAAAAGAAGGACGGCAGCGTGGGTCATCTCAAGTGGGCCTACGACCATGGACCTTTTGAGCTCCTGATAGGGATTAAAATTAGGGAAAAAAACATAATCCAAGATTAAGTATACACAGTTCATTCTCCTGGTCAGAAAGTTCCAAAATTCAAAAATCAGGTTATATATATATATATATTCTGTTAAATTAGTATCCTCAATTCAAGCGTGCAATCAGCAATTACCTTCTTTAAGCGGACTCCCCAAAATATAAATCCACCTCCTGAAATACAAACTCACTGTCAATTTGACATTTATCACTACGAAATCAACATTCAAGGTCACAATTTGAAGATTCACAAATCGAATCATCTCGTCACAATATAACAGAGTTAACGCCATGGCTGTGTTTTACTTTTGGGAATAGTTCGGAAGGTTGTTGACTTCGCAATTGAAGATTTCAAATCGAAGCAGTGTCGAAAAAACATTTAGCAGTTACCGTCGGTAAGTCGTGCCATGAATGCATGAATTTGACCTTTTTAACGACATAATACATCCATTCATTGCAATTGGGTACATTAAGCTCTACGATCAATTTTTACTTTTGTTTCTAAAGCAACTACTGCATTGTTGATTCAATTATGGTCAATGTTTATAAAACTCATACATTTGATCACATTTACGTACACGTGAATGTAATAAAGAAACATAAGTCTATGGCGTGAATTCGATATAGTGAACTACATAATTAAAATATTTGTTCACCATCTGTGCGTTTCTAATTTAACTATTCATTGAAATGTTTATAGTGTGTGTATATGACCAATATGCATGTACATTCTGCTTTGACAAGTTGCATATGATTTGTGACCAATATATAGTGATTTGTGACTAGAGTTAACTAAGTTGTGTCAAGTTGAGTATGATTTGTGACCAATATACAGTGATCTATGACTTCGATTCAATATGTCGTGTCAAGTTGTATAAGATCTGAAACCAAAATATAGTGATACGTGACTAAAAGTGTATGCATACATATATGACCTGAAATCTGTTTGTGTGAAAACGAATCTTTCAATTATGAGTGTATGGGATAATCTGTGACCTAAAATCTAATATTCTGACCAATTGCAGTAAACTGTGACGCTTGTGTATATTAGAACATGCAATATAAGTTTTCACTTCTGAGAAAAAAAATGTAGTGATAGTAGTGTACTGTCGTACATTACGCTAAAGGAAATGGATCGTAACCCTTCGAAATACTCGTTAAGTATTAATGTAACAGCAGCAGAAATTGAGCAACAGAGTATTACAGTTCCAGCTAATGTACAGAGTAGTGGAGAGCTGTTTTCATTACAGGATCTGGAATCAGACATTTGCAATGCAGCAATTGAACTAGCAGGTCACACATTTGAACAAGAAATCACAGTTGTGAAAATCGCCGATGCCATAGAGGTGGAAGAAGGAAAGATCTTTCGTGATAAAGAAATTCTAAAATTGAGTCTTTCTTTTCTCGCAATAAAGAACATGTTTGAGTTTATGGTTGTTTTGGTCGGACAAGAAGAAATATGTTGTCAGGTGTGTGCATGACGAATGTACATTGTGGAGGATGTGGTTACAACCGGAGAAAATGCAGTAATATGGTTCCATTAAGCCAAAATTAAGCAAGGACAAAAACAAAAGAACAGTAACTCAGATGATGACACAGTTAGGCAACGAACATATCATTTTTTATAGCATTTACATCTCAATTGTTATATCATTTTACTGTAAATGAAATATTCATTGATGTAATCGTGGTATGAATGAATACCATGTGACTTTTGAAGCAGAATCTGTAATTTGATATTATGGTTTGTGATCAACATAGTAGAATTTGTCCAGTGAAGGGTCAACTATGTATCATATCAACTATGACCAATATACACATATCTGTGACCCCTGTACATTAAGTATGTGACTGATGCATGGTTGTGACAATATACTATAGTCTGTGACTTCTGCAAATGAACCGTGCAATTGGTTTTGAAACCTTTGTATGTATATGTGACATTCTAAAAACAGTATATGATCTATTACCTTTGACTTGAGCAGACTAATTAAGTACTTGTGACCTGTGACATTCATTAGTGACCTGTTCTATTACTTGTGACATGTTTCGAGTGGAATTATTTTGATCTGTGGCCTGAATACAAACATATATGAGTAATAAACTAAAATCTATGACCAGGAAATATACATTCTGTTATTCGACCCAAACCATTTACATTTCATAAATTGTTAATGAAATAGAACACAACACTATCATACATCTCAAGTTCTTTGACCAAACATAAAATACCAAACCTGCTAAAAAATGACACCAGAATTGATCAAATGCAAAAACCAAACAATTTTTCAATGTGTCAATGTACAACCACAGTATCACAATAATTCCAATGAGTGTCATCACACAAACTACTATAAACGAAAATAAAAAAGAGGCCAATATTCAGACCCTTTACAAAATCCTATCATCATCCTAAATTTCAAATACATTATCAATCCTCACTCAATGACAATCTCCTCTCCCTTTGTATGCTTCCATGCCTTTGAAGGCTTGAATATATTCTGATGTTTATAAAACCAGGACGCTATGTCTAGCCTAGTTCTCCCAGAATCAAATTTCTTCGGCATAGAATCTTTGTCGTTGTGGAGCAAGTATTCAACATATGTAATCGTGAATATGCTGCAATCATGCCTGAACAGAAGCATAACATAATTTATTAGGTATGATACTTTTATCATGAATCATATCACATATTAAGAAATTATAACAAGTTAGGCCACAAACATATAGAGTCTTAGACACATAGGAACAATAGGTCACAGATATATATAATAGTATATAAATCATGCATTTAATGTCACATATGTAGAGAATGGAATGCAATCCATTAACAAATCCATAAACATCGCTTTCAAGAGGAAATATTAGATTAAATTAGGAAATAGACATATAGATTCTCAGACAACTATGTAAATGAGGTCACATATAAATATAATCGAATATCTATCATGCAATAAGGTCACAGATGCAATGTCATGCTATTGAGGCAGGTCACAAATCCATAGTATATTGGTCACATTTGGATTGTCATGTCACATACGGTCTACTGTAAATCATTGTACAATTTAGAACATATATTTCACACAGAAACCCCCACATATTTCCTTTGATTGTAATATTTAACCGAATAAATGTCACGGATAAATAATAAAAAATGATAAAATTGAAAATATCACCTTGGCGAACGGTTTTTTGTTCGACACATATGATTTATTCCTTTTCGATGGCATATTCTTTGAACTATCCTCTGGCTTTCTTTGGTTTCTTCTGTTAGGCGTCTCCACCATATTCTTCGCCTTCATCTCACCCTTCAATTTACTAATCACCTTTCAATTTCGGAAGTTTGGAGATTTATGAAAGATGAATTTGAAAAATTGTGGAAGTTGACTGGGAAATCATGGGGATTATGTTTGAGAAGAATTGGGAGGTTTCCAATAATAGAGGAAGTTACAATAATCCCGTATATGAATGCTAATTTCACGGGATACGTGCATCATTTAATTAATTGATTTTTATATTTAATTATATTGTTTAAAACCTGAAAACTGCACAAGTAAACTTCAACCTTGGAATATGAAAAGTGATCTTTAAGTACATGTGACCGCGTAATTTCTACTTAAAATTATGGAAATTATACCCAATCAAAATTTTAAAGATTCAATTTCAAAAATCAATTCTAAATTTTGTTTATACAAAAATCAGATATTAATTTAAATTTCAAAATTAATAATTTAAGTGTGTGTTTGAGTCACATTATTTTGAAATAATGTATTTTGGAGTAACAAATTGATGGAGAATGTATAGTTAAAAAATAAAGAAAAATTTTAAATTTGTGTCTAATATTATTTTATTTAAGAATATATGATTGAAATAATGTCAAATCACTACTTAGAAATGCATTTTTTTTTTTCAAATAATGCAGCTCAAATAGGGCATAAATTAATCTACACAACCCATCCTACCCACAAACCCCATCCCAACTCATCCAACCCAAACCCTAAATCATTCGCCACTTCTTCTTTCTTATAATTTTCCTTCTCTCTTCTCTGGCAACACACCACCTCCAGCGAGATGGCACATTCAGCATTGAGGTGAGGCATTGGAGGCACGATCGTCGCTTAGCGCAGCTACAGCGCAACACCTCTGCACAGATGAGCAGCTCTGAGCAGTGTCGTGCACTGCGTCTTGCCTTTTGGGTCAGCAATGATCCAGTGGTTTTGCCTGATCACATATTGCATGCATGCAACGACAATATGAACTTTTCACCAACAGGATCACAGCATCGCTTTTTGTTTCTGCTGCATCACAACAGTGGCAAAGGTTCTAGGTTGCCACTCTTTTCTTCCCATGTTGGCCAAACTGAGCGGTTTATGGTGATTTTTGTGGCATGTTTTTGTGGTGGTGCATGCAGTGTTAGCGTGCGGTTGTTGTGGCGATGGGTTTGTGGATTTTTTAGTGGGGGATAGTGGTTATGGTATGGTATAGATGGAGATAAAGGAGATGGTAGTGTGCAGTGGCATGTGCTGTGGGAGTGGGGTGTGGTGTATAGTTGGGGTGGTTTTACAGGTACTGTGGTGATGCTGACAATGTAGTGGACCTAGTGGTGGTGGGGTGTTATGCTCGTGGAAGCGGGGGAAAGAGTCTTTTGTGACCAATTATTTAGTGTTGTGACTAATAAATTGTTAATTTATAACCAGTAAATAATATGTGACCTAGAAGAGTGTGTGGTTGTGACCAATTTTATAATTGTGAGCTAGAATTGGTAAATTATGACCAACTATTTTATAACTTGTTATTGTGGAATAAGTTATGGCTATAAATTTTGTGATTTTTGATTATGAAATAAGTTGTGACCTATAAAATTTGTTATTTATGACAAATAAATAAATTATGACTCATAAAAATTATGATTTGTAATTGAAAAATAATTTGTAACAAATTAATTTGATAATACGTGACCAAAAAATAAGTTGTGATCTATAAATACATAATTGTGACCATAATATATTTAATTAATAAAATATATTTTTAATTAGTTCTTCCATAATAAAATTTAATTAATATCTAATTTCTGAAATAATAAACCTTTTTTTTAGTTTTGAAATGGGTTATTCTTAATATCTTAGATCTGAAATTTTTCCATTAAAATTTAGATTTTAATTCAAGTTAAAGTCCACAATTTATTTTAATAATATATTTTATAGAATCCACAACTATTCAACTATAAATTTCATCAATTTTTATCAAAATCTACAATCTCCACCAAAGTAGGGTTGAATCTATAAATAATAAAATATGGATATTAAATTTGTAAATAAAATGAGTTAAATGTAATAATTCATTTCATTTTTTTAATATAAAAAATTCAAAACCAATTTGTAATTCGATCAAAGTCAAACATTATTTTCAACTATGAATTCGTAATTACTATTTATTTGTTATCCACACATTTCGTGAGACTCATTTTTAGTCTTCTTTTTAAATTATTTATAAATTCAATTAACCTATTTGTACAACCTTTTGACAACCTTGGTGTTATCAAATTTCAGGCCTCTAATTTAAAAAATATTTTTTTTTCAAATTTTAAAATGGATGGATACAATGCAAGCACGTGTAAAGTTGTCAACCAATACTATACAATTAGTATAATTCTTATAAATTTGTCAAATAAAAGTTAAATTAGGTTATTACCGCTGATTATTGAAAAGTATGAATTTCGTCACATCAATGCATAGTTTATAGTTTTATGTGTATTTGTCAGTAGATTCAAAGTCGAAGGAGTGCAAATAAAAGTAAAACTACACTTCCGGAAAATTCACGTCAAGTTAACTCTAGCGGCTTGATGAATTTATGAGCAATAGTGATTTTCTATTCACCGTGGACAAGAGTTATCATACCCATTGTGGGTATGGCAACATTTGGTATTGCCACGTTATTAATGAGAATGTGACGGGCAACGTTAAATATTGTCACTTGAACATAATAATTCATATCCACAGTGGACAAAAGATGAAATTCAAATTTATTAGATATACGTTTATGATAAAGTTATCAGTACTGATCGTGTTACGTATGCATGTTTGTTTTGAATATTGACTTTGCCATTGGGCATGATACTGACAAGATATGGCCATATTATTGACCAGACGTGACATTGGTAGGTTAGTGCTAGTTGCCTAATTGTATTTGTCATCCACAAGGACCACAAAATAAATAATTGAGAAGTAAAAAATTAAAATAAATCATCAAATTTTAAAGAAAAATAAAAAATGATAAATATCTTGCATAAAGAATATGGCAAAATGTTCGTTTTCTTGTCCTCCTGTATCTATTCAATTAGGCCAACTTTTAAAGCCCAATCAGATTCTTATCTTCTTGACCCACATGGCATCTGCCATATATAAAGGACAAAATTACGAGTCCGGATATAGGCAATTCAGTTTTCAAGTTTTAAGTTTCTTAATTATTTAAAATTGTTTTATTAATTAAATATATTAAGATCACAATTATATAATTAATGATCACATATTTATAAATCACAACTTATTTATTAGTCAAATTTTATCAAATTAATTAATCACAGACTATTTTATGGTCATAATAAAAATTTATAAGTCACAATTTATTTGTCGATTATAGATTTTCAAATTAGTTGATCATGAATTATTTTTCAATCACAAATTATTAAATTTTCAAATCACAATTAAATAGTTGGTTACAAATAATCAAATAGTTGGTCAAGTATTAACTAAATAATTGGTCACATACCACAACTACCACCACGCTCACTTGCGACCACCACGATTAACACAGCCTAATAACGCCACCTCACCAACATAGTCCTACCGCCAACATCACGACATCGACGCAGCCTCAACAACCCACCACCGTCTATGAGACTATGACACCACCATCACCACCTCTGAACTATAGCATTTAAAGTACACTCTAATCCTCTTCTACATCGCCACTCAGGCCACAGGCAATGTGCCATCTCAGGCTCACCGTCGAGCAACTCTGCAGAGCTGATCCCATGTGGTCATCACTCAATCATTGTCATCGTCCTAATTGGCACCACTATCACTATATGTTCTCCACCAAAGTCACTGCCACCACATCAAATCCATAATTACTACTACCTTTACCTCAAATTACCAACAATCACAATCACCACCAAATTGAGACCCACCATATCCAGTTGCAATAGCAGACGCAAGGATTAAATTCAAAACAGATATTTAAATAAACAGTGCCACCTAATAGCGACTAGATCTACAGCCATCGTTGGGCCGTGAATTTAATGATGAGAAGGATACTTTTGGGGAAAAATATGGCTATGAGCTTTGGGATGGCAGTTGAAGGCTGAATTAGGTTGTGGTTGGTGGATGTGGAGGGAGAAGACAGTGATGTTAGTGGGGCAAAGCCCCTTGTCTTTGGCGTCCCTAGATGTCAAGCAAAACTCATTTAAGTGAGAGAAAAAAAAAAGTGGTGGCCATAATTTATTTAATTTTGCTTCCCTTTCCTTTCCCAGTGGGATTTGAAGCTGTTGGCATGATTTTGGGAAATTGCAATGATTGAAATTCCGTGAGCGAATAAAGGAGTATGGTTGTTTCGGGAGGGGGTTGTATGTATATTTTTAAATTAATAACAAATAGTTATAACTTGATTTTTGGAAAAAAAAAATTATTATAACCTGATTTTTGAAGTTGAAAATTGAAATGTAGGGTTAGATGTAATTTTGTCATATATAAATGATGCTTGTCAAATGACAAACTAAGCCCCTATTTGACCCCATTATTTTTCATTGAATTATAATTCATTTTTATCTTTTTTCATATTAATCACACATTCTCCAATAAAAAAAATTACAAGTACATCTAAATTTTTTTATTATTTGTTAATAACACATTCTCTAAAAAATTACAAGTCCTCTTATTATAACGTGGAATAATGGGTGCCAAACAGGTGCTAATTAGAAAATTTGAAACAAAATAGTATAGTAGGTTCTTCAAGTTTATGCCTTTCTTAATTTTAGTCATTCATCTTTCTATCTTGTCAGTTTTGGTCCTCCATGTTTTCAACATATTCAAGTTGTCATTTATCTTTCAATAATGTGTGAGTTCGTATTCAATCCAGGTTTCTGTATGCTCATAGTCCCTCAATTCCAGATTTTATACACATTTAATCCTTCCATTGCCCAATTAAGCTTCTTTTTGCTCAATCCACCAAAAAGTCAAGAGTTATACCTGCAAACGTGTCTTTAATGATCACATATTAAAACCTTGGCTGAGTCAAACGAATTGTTGACTATTCATTAAAATGCAATTGATTATTCCAATATTATTCAGGCCTCGTCCTTATCTTCAATCACGCATTACATCAATAAAATAATTTTGCAAGCAAATTCAAAAAAATTCCTATTTTTAACAATATGCTTAAAAAATCACTTTTCGCAATTTTTATTTTGAGAAAAACTATATCAAATAGGGATTTATGTTTAAGCACACGTTCGCAATTATTACCTATCATTATTTACACATTTAATAAGACTCATTACGATTATTTTGAAACTCAAACAAGGAGATATTTGTGCCTTATTTCCCTAAATCTTATGCCCCTTAATTTTACAAAAAAATAAAAATAAAAAATCTTCTAAAAAGTTATTTAAATGAATAAAAAATATAAATATATGTAATAAATTATTTCCGTGGTGATCCTATAATTATAGCCTCGTACGATTGCACCACCTATACATCCTTAGGCCCTGTTTTAGCCCCATTAGTTTGAAGAAATGTATTGTGCAATAGTGATTGATGGAGAATGTGTGGTTAAAAAAGAAGGAAAAGTTTTTTATTTGCGTGTAATATTATTTTAATGAAAAATGTGGTTAAAAATGAGTATTGTAGAAAAAAATAATTGAAAAAAATGTAAAGTAAATGATAACAAGGTCTTAATCAGCTGTTGATTCCCCCACAAGCCACAACCCACGTGTGAAATTGATTATCACCTAAAAATTCATAATTGTAACTTGTTAGATTTTAGGAAATGTCGAGGAGTTTTAATGGTTAGAGAGGTAAAAACGATGGTGAATTAGTAAATAGTACATGTGAATTTAACGAAATATGTTGATAAAAAAATAATTTAAGCAATTAAGAAGAGGGTATAAACAAGAGGAAAACAACAAAAAATCATTTTATAGGATTAACAGGTTGCCTCATTTGGCAAAAGAAGTACCTTTTCTTTTAACACCAAAAAAAATAAAAATAAAAATAAAAATAAATTGAAAAAATTAATAATAATAATAATAATGTACACTTCCAGATATCATATTACACAACACAAAAATGCGAACCATATTAATAATACATAACTTCCAAAACGAAATTCGTTAATATAGCTTTCCTTGGCCTTGGGCACGTAACATCAGTTGGTGGCACGGCGAAAGGTCAAATGGCTCCCCGGTGACTTTACTCCGGTTGCTACCACCATGTTTGTGGCGGAGGAAGGTGGAGAAGAAGTAGACAAAAGCTGTATATCCGAAGTTTGGAACCGTCCCGAGTCGCCGGGAAGTCTTACGTAGGAAGCAGAAGGCGATTCATTTAGCCATGCCCCCTTCTCTCCTTGTCCTCCATTTTTGTACTGCATTATAGCTTTGTACACATATGGAATCAGACCCTCCATACCATATATTTTGTATGTTCAACTCTGCGCGTGAGAAGAATGATTTTGGGGTGGCGTGGGGAGGAGTAGGGTTAAAAAGGCAAATGAGAGGTTGACGTGGTAGGACTAATGTGTTGGGTTGGAGTCTAGCTGGTTCCATTGCAAAACAAAACGCCTCGCACGAACCATTGAAGAAGATTTTGAAAGCTACATTTAAGCTACAATCTCGTTACAACTCACCAAATCTTATTAGAATAATGATTCTACATCTTGTGCATTACTATACTTGTTCATTGGTCGGTTGACACTAATAAATAATTTAGTATATTGTTTTGTTCTCTTTCTTAAATGAGAAATTTGAGAATTTTCTTCGTTCCTGACCCAATTTTGTATATATACTAAAGTTCCTAATTTAGCTAAAAATCAAATTTTCAGTACATTTTGATAAAAGTTGATGAAATGTATGTTGAAAAATTAATAAACGTAGCGAATCTCATAAAATGTGCGTTTAAAAATGAGTTTGAGAAAAAATAAGGACAATGTTGTGTCCTATGATTGAAAATGAATTTGCGAAAAAATGATTTTAAAAAATCAAGGACAAACAGAGACTAAAATTCAACTGATGATATGGTGCGAGAAAACAGCAATAGCATCACTAAAGTGATAAATATGAATAAATAAATGCATCTCCTAATAGTTCAACTTAATGCTTCACAATTTTCTTATGAATTATAAATTTACAGAATTTGCAGTATTGGATTAAGTTAGCTCATCTGTCGTTCTCGCTAGGCCTGCAGGCAATCGGAAGCATAACACGGAAGCCATATCCATCATGATATAAGATCATGATTCATTCTGAAGTTTTCAGATATGACAAATTAATATATTTTGTGAGCAATGATTAATTGGATTATTTGAATTCTACGTGCAATTGATTTGCTAGTGACAGCTGAACAATCATCACCTAAAAGGATATTGTTTATGCCATTCATATAAGACTATAAGAGAACATTTTAATTCAAAGTTCAAAAGATATAATCGTGGGCTTAGAACAACATAGAAGTTTGTTACTTCGAGACGAATCCAAACTTTCTCCATATTTTAACTGAAAATTAATTGCAAAACAACATCGTCTCGTTTACAACAATGGATTGATTGACTACTACATACTAAACATGCTCTGATGATAATTAACTGCATTTAAAAGCGCAAAGTAGCATCAGCGCAGCGCACCCATGGGTCGAACATAAACCAGCTGTTTGGTAACTCAGGAGACTGTCTCGCACAGCGATAGTGTATGCCACCAGCCACAACCAATATTCTTAGGGACGTAGTTGTCGACCGGAACTTGCGAAGGGATATTTCGATCGACTGTATCTCCTAAACCGAGCTGGAAGAGAAAGAAAAGAAGAACATTATATCAAGAAAGTAGAAATTGAAAAGAATGCTTTATGCATCATAAATCATACATACCTGACCATATTTATTCCATCCCCAGCTGTATATTTTACCTTCATCTGCATAAACATTCAGAGAGCACCATTATTATTGCACCAAGGGAATACCCATTGGGTTGGCTTACACACAGCCAGTTGTGATAGATAGTAGATACTCTCTATTCTGAACATAGCCCAGTTAAAGCATGTTTGTAGCTAAAGTTGGTTTTTAAGGTAAAGTCTATATCTAAAACATGTTAAGCTAAGTTACTTATTTCCTTTTTCTAAGTGAAGAAATACTTATTCTTGACAAGGACGACTTTCAAACTTAACAAGTGTCAACTTTAACAAATATAACTTTTGAAATGAGAAAGTTGATTATTTAAAACTTGATTATTGTCTAGTTCTACGTACAATAATATAACTTCTGTCCAACAAAATTTGGTTCAAGTACCTCGGAATGTTGCTGGGAGCCCGAAATCAGATCCAAACTGATATAACATTTTACCTGTTAGTATGACACTATGACGAGCTCCACAGGATACCACCTTAGCATTCTTGTTCTCCATAACTGAAGCATCCAGAAGCTTAGGTATAAGCTGTCGAGTACCAAAGTACACTTTTTAATCACTATCTTTAAAGTACGTAACTTCTTTAGAATAAAGCAGAGACTATCAACCAAATAACGCAACAATTTTGATAAATACTGCAAAGTGTAATCTGATTTCAAGAAGGGATTCAATTTCTAGAAACCAACATTTTAGAAGGCTGTTGAAGCTGCAACTGATGTAAGAGTGGATTACTTTGAGTAGTTTGGGACCTGCTAATCCTTGTTGCAGAGCACTACTGCTAAAATGAGTAGTACATCATACTCATGGTTTCTGATGAAGTCTATAGAAAAGAACAGACAGTGCATTTGTATCAGGTTCAGATCCAGTACATCAGACAATAAGCAGAGAATATACCTCACATTGATCAGAATTTGTTCCCAAACCCAATTGCCCAAACTGATTTCCACCAAAAGCATAGACACAACCATCTTTGCAGATGCATATAGTATGCCACAACCCAGCTGCAACTGTTTCAATCTGAGTCCCCGATAGAGAAGTCACACAAGTTGGTCTCAGCAGGTCTTCTCTATTTCCTTGTCCACACTGCATAAAATAATGTCATGCGAATGTAGTTTGTGGTCTGTCTTCAATTTATTAGGAAATCTAACATCCATGGACAAATTTGAGAACACACTCAAAACCAACTTGATTTCCGCACCCTAACCATAATAAAGCAACAGACCGAACCTATGAAAGTTTATGCTGTGTTCATCATAGAATTTTTATTATTGTTTTCAGTATAGCTACGAAAATGATTTTAAATAATTGAACCCATGGCTTCAGATTACGTTTACTGCCCAAAAACGTGCTAATATTACAGCGTTCAACACATTCCAAAAGTTACTTACATAATTTTGACATATGATTCTAAAATTACTACTGCAAGGATCCCCTAGATAATACCATTTTGAGTCTTACTACATGTCAGATGTTTAGGAAATATTAAATCGGAACCCATTAGAGATGAAGCAAGAAATATGCGGAATGAATTTTCTAGCTACATGAGAAGGCAAATACTTGGGGATAAAAAATGCAGTACAATAAGGAAATCACCTGTCCATATAAACCCCAGCCAAAAGCAATCAGCACACCAGCATCTGATAACCAAAAAAAGAAAGACCTTACAAAAGAAATGGGCTAAAATTGCTACAAAGCAATATTACCACATAACAATTCTTCATGACTCACCTGTTATTACTGCACTGTGCCTGCCTCCACAAGCAACGGCCCTTATGTAATTCCCTACAGAATTATGAGACTGAGCTGCTGCACTCTCACTTTCTTGATGAACCACATCAGGTTTGTCTTTTATGCATGAAGATGGATCAATACACGGAATGAGATGAGGAGAAGCCACTGTTTTTACCCGGTTGCCCAAACCTAGCTGCCCGTCACCTCCATAGCCCCAACCCCATACCTGTCCTACATCTAAATCCGGTAAAAATATGATGAATCAGGTATCTTGCTTTACATTTAAGACCTCTTGCTTTACATTAAAGATCTTCATAGCTTCATACTTCATATGACCTACAAAACTATAATTTGTAACCACAAAGAAGTAGCACCTAGCCTAAAATGTTAATTTGGTGCACTGCAGCACACAGGAAGGAGTTGATTTACCTGACAATGCCAACGTATGTCGCCCACCAGCAGCAACAGATGTAATTTTCACCAGGGGATCCAGCATTACAAGACAAGGTGGCGCTGAAAGTGTTTCTTCAGCAGGGATTGATATTTCAGATTCTTCTTGAGTTGATACCTTTCTTCTCTTTATACTTTCATCTTCAATGTTTTTATCATCTGAACAAGAAAGTGATCCGACAGAAGGTTTTGGACCTTGAGACTGTGGGCTCCCTATTACAAACAATATCAGGTGTTAGCGTCCAGTACCCGATATATTTGTATGCACACTTCTAGCCGAAGGTAGGCCTCATAAGATATACTCTTTCTAAGATACCTTGCTCAGTCAGTGTAGAACTTTGTTTTGCAGACCTGTTCCTTTCAAAGGTTTTCATACTTGTCCAACTACAAGTAACTTTTCCAGGTGGAACACACTCCTTCCAACCCCATGTGTACACTTCACCTTTACCTGAAATAATGGAGTCATCAAGCTATTAAGTTTTCAAGTCAAGATAACCGTTTCTTTTGACTATCATCAGCATCAAATTTCTAAGCAGTAAGCACTATACCAAAGCTACTATTCTTCACTTTTTCTTAAGCAATGGAGGATTCACTAGAGGACTCAACAAGACTTAAAAAGAAGGGATTCAATTTCTAGAAACCAACATTTTAGAAGGCTGTTGAAGCTGCAACTGATGTAAGAGTGGATTACTTTGAGTAGTTTGGGACCTGCTAATCCTTGTTGCAGAGCACTACTGCTAAAATGAGTAGTACATCATACTCATGGTTTCTGATGAAGTCTATAGAAAAGAACAGACAGTGCATTTGTATCAGGTTCAGATCCAGTACATCAGACAATAAGCAGAGAATATACCTCACATTGATCAGAATTTGTTCCCAAACCCAATTGCCCAAACTGATTTCCACCAAAAGCATAGACACAACCATCTTTGCAGATGCATATAGTATGCCACAACCCAGCTGCAACTGTTTCAATCTGAGTCCCCGATAGAGAAGTCACACAAGTTGGTCTCAGCAGGTCTTCTCTATTTCCTTGTCCACACTGCATAAAATAATGTCATGCGAATGTAGTTTGTGGTCTGTCTTCAATTTATTAGGAAATCTAACATCCATGAACAAATTTGAGAACACACTCAAAACCAACTTGATTTCCGCACCCTAACCATAATAAAGCAACAGACCGAACCTATGAAAGTTTATGCTGTGTTCATCATAGAATTTTTATTATTGTTTTCAGTATAGCTACGAAAATGATTTTAAATAATTGAACCCATGGCTTCAGATTACGTTTACTGCCCAAAAACGTGCTAATATTACAGCGTTCAACACATTCCAAAAGTTACTTACATAATTTTGACATATGATTCTAAAATTACTACTGCAAGGATCCCCTAGATAATACCATTTTGAGTCTTACTACATGTCAGATGTTTAGGAAATATTAAATCGGAACCCATTAGAGATGAAGCAAGAAATATGCGGAATGAATTTTCTAGCTACATGAGAAGGCAAATACTTGGGGATAAAAAATGCAGTACAATAAGGAAATCACCTGTCCATATAAACCCCAGCCAAAAGCAATCAGCACACCAGCATCTGATAACCAAAAAAAGAAAGACCTTACAAAAGAAATGGGCTAAAATTGCTACAAAGCAATATTACCACATAACAATTCTTCATGACTCACCTGTTATTACTGCACTGTGCCTGCCTCCACAAGCAACGGCCCTTATGTAATTCCCTACAGAATTATGAGACTGAGCTGCTGCACTCTCACTTTCTTGATGAACCACATCAGGTTTGTCTTTTATGCATGAAGATGGATCAATACACGGAATGAGATGAGGAGAAGCCACTGTTTTTACCCGGTTGCCCAAACCTAGCTGCCCGTCACCTCCATAGCCCCAACCCCATACCTGTCCTACATCTAAATCCGGTAAAAATATGATGAATCAGGTATCTTGCTTTACATTTAAGACCTCTTGCTTTACATTAAAGATCTTCATAGCTTCATACTTCATATGACCTACAAAACTATAATTTGTAACCACAAAGAAGTAGCACCTAGCCTAAAATGTTAATTTGGTGCACTGCAGCACACAGGAAGGAGTTGATTTACCTGACAATGCCAACGTATGTCGCCCACCAGCAGCAACAGATGTAATTTTCACCAGGGGATCCAGCATTACAAGACAAGGTGGCGCTGAAAGTGTTTCTTCAGCAGGGATTGATATTTCAGATTCTTCTTGAGTTGATACCTTTCTTCTCTTTATACTTTCATCTTCAATGTTTTTATCATCTGAACAAGAAAGTGATCCGACAGAAGGTTTTGGACCTTGAGACTGTGGGCTCCCTATTACAAACAATGTCAGGTGTTAGCGTCCAGTACCCGATATATTTGTATGCACACTTCTAGCCGAAGGTAGGCCTCATAAGATATACTCTTTCTAAGATACCTTGCTCAGTCAGTGTAGAACTTTGTTTTGCAGACCTGTTCCTTTCAAAGGTTTTCATACTTGTCCAACTACAAGTAACTTTTCCAGGTGGAACACACTCCTTCCAACCCCATGTGTACACTTCACCTTTACCTGAAATAATGGAGTCATCAAGCTATTAAGTTTTCAAGTCAAGATAACCGTTTCTTTTGACTATCATCAGCATCAAATTTCTAAGCAGTAAGCACTATACCAAAGCTACTATTCTTCACTTTTTCTTAAGCAATGGAGGATTCACTAGAGGACTCAACAAGACTTAAATTCTGGTTTTAATCGATTACGAAATGCTAAAGAAGTAACAATTTGTTGTGGCTGCATTGAAAGCTAATGTGAACGACTGCATTTCAGCAAAAAGGTTATGTAGCAGTACCTGTAACAGAAACACAATGTGCCCAACCAGCAGCAGCTTTCAGAATTGGATCATTAGTTGGAAGTGGGTACGGCTCTGGAGTCTCCTTGATATGTCACATGTGTGGTGATGAAAGAAATCCTAAAATCAATTCCAGATACTGGGCACTTTATTTTTAAAAGCTAGAGGCTTGTTACATTACCTCATGCTTCCCGGAGGTCAAATAGCTTTGGCCTTGATCATCAGCTGAACCCCACGTTATAAGTTTTCCGGAGGCTGCTTGTGAAATGAGTAAGAAGTCACACCAAATTCTGTTTGTGTGCCCACATAATATCATCTAAAGTAAAGAGCAAAGCCCCATTCTCGGAACGTCCAGGATTTACTCATTGGATGTTAGATGTATCAATGAATATACCATTGGAGAATATTAATTTTTCTAAGAAGCATATTTCCACATTTACAATAATGACACAACCATTTAATTGGCTGTTTGACATCCATTAAATTAAAACTTTTTTTTCTCAAATTCATTTTTAACCACACGTTCACAAAATAAAATATTTTGTATATAAACCCAAAATTTTGTCCAACTTTTTAACCATGCATTCCCAAAAAAAAAAAATCGTTAGTCTAAAACTTATTTTCTCACACAAAAAAAACACAAAAAAAAAAAGGAAAAGCTCTAGTGGATGTCTAGCAGGGGCTTAGTCTATACTCGATAATTAGTTGGCCTAATCTTAAACTAGTGGCGGGTCCAGCTGTCCAGGACTCAGTGCGGGTGCGCAATATTTGACAGTGGAAATTTTTTTCAGACACAAAATCTAATAATATTAATTTTATTTATTTATTTTTTATTTTATCACCGTTGAGTGTTATCTACTAGTTTTACTTAACACCACCATATAATGACTCTCCTCTTTTTTTTTTTTTTTTTTTGGCCATCAAATGCTCTTTTCAACAATGATTTCAGAGTTCGTAGTCTAGAATCTGTGAGATGACTCTTCCAGAGTAATAAACCGGAAGACTTTTGCATTACCTCGACCAAATCATCGGAGACTACTAAACTACAATTCAAAAACATCATCATACCACTACTCACAACTGAAAGTGACAGATCCAAATCAACCAAGTCATATGCACTCACTACATACAATCGAGTTCAAAAATAGCGAAATCGATTAATTACCTGAAATAGCTAAACCAAACCCGCAACCGCCACCACAAACATCCTTCCACGAATCCCCGGAGACCTCCGCTTCCGGAAACCGTACACTCACCGGTGAAGTCAACGAAGACTGTAGCTGCGAAGCTCCCGGAAGATACCCCCACATTAACACCTCACACTTCTTCTCTTTATTTCCATTAACTTCCAAATCTTTTATTCCTTCACCGCCATTCATCTCCCCGTTAAAACAAATTAAACTAGAAAAAAATCACACAGAAAAACAGCTGAAAAGCAAATTTATTAAAAATTGCTTATTTTGTACTCCGATCTGGTTTTTATCAACGGAAGATGCAATTCCAGAAGCAAATGGAAGCAGGGGTGGTTTTGTAATATTGTAAAGAATAATATAGTGCTAGATTAAAAAATTGATGGGCGTATCATTTGCTAGCTAGATTTGAGTGCCACGTAAGATAATCGTGTCCATGGGGACACGTGTCGAGGTTAGAGCTGATTTATATGGATAATTGATTCATGCGTCAAGGAGCCACGAATCACTAGAAGTTTCTGGAATAAACAGGCGTGAGTTTTACTCTTTCCTCGACACGTTGTGGGTCAGGTTTTAATCATTTTGATTCTTTTAATTAAGTTTTCAATAAATTAATCACAATCTTAGCCCTATTTGAGCTTTTTTTTCTGGAAAAATATTTTTAGAATATATATTTTTTTTTTGAAGAATGTATAATTAAAAAATTAAATTTATGCATAAAATTATTTTATGAAAAAATACATAATTTAAAATGAATTTTAGAAAACAATATTTAAAAAAAAATTTTGAAGCCTAAACAAGGGCTTGATAACTTGACTGCATCGCTAAATCTGGCCAGTGTGATAAGCATCGTTTTGGACATACTTTGCTGATTATTCCTTTATTTAATAAACATTAGATATTTAGCCCTTGTTTGTGGGGTTGAGCATGGTCCCTACTGAGAATAGAATCGGATTCGAAATTTTTGGGTATTTAGTAAGTGGAGTCAACGAGTTAAAATTTAATTGTGGAACCATTCAGTTCAGTTTGGCTCAATTCAATTCCATTCAACTCTTGCGTAGTATAATTAATTTTTTTAATATTTACAAAACTACATTAATTTAACTAATGACAAGTTCAATCTTAACTCTTACAAAATATCGTAGTCCAACCTTATGTATCTTTTGCATATCTTTTTGCCGAATTCTCCATAATTTTGTTTATTAAAATCATAGGAAGAGAAAGATAGCGAGATTACAATAATTAAGAGAGGCGCTGTCGAGTTTCAATTCGATTTCTTCAAAATGGTAGAAACGGCACTGCGGTAGAATAACGGATTTTGTTAAAACTTATGTTAATTTGATTAAATTGGATTTTTACTGAAAATTAAAATTAGAAAAATCATATTTTTGGATTTGAACTAAATTAACTAATTAGCAAATTTATTTAAAAATAATAATTTGGCTTTTTAAAAATAAATAAATTAACAAAATTAGTAAGATTCGATTCTTAATCTAGAACCGAGAATCAAACCTGTTAATTTTCAATTCAGATATCCATTCGAATATTTAACTTAAGAAGAACCGTTTGGTTCGATCGATTTCCCCAGCTCTACCTGTTTGATGGTCATTATTTGGCAAAAATAACGTTTTAAATGTTAATTTTTACGCAAACGTGTCATGTGTGATTAAAAAGTTGAGAAAACTTTTAGATTTTCGTGCAGCATATTTTATGGATCTTGCTACATGTATATCAAACTTTACATAATGGATTATATAATAGGGCAATCATGAGGCAACAGGTGTTTAAGATTTGAAAAATGCTATGTGTATACCTTATAGTGTACATAATGGGTTATACCCCTCTCACATGAATGGAGGCCTACGAATATTTTATTGTATGTGAGCCTCTCCATGTGAGGGGGTGTAATGCTGCATATACATCATTATGTACATATAGTATTACCCTTGAGAATTACAATTCATAAATCAAGTATGAAATTTATTTGTACAAATATCAGGTATTAATCTAAGGGAAAATTGTAGCAGTAGTCCCTAACCTTTTCTTTTTTGCAGACTTTACCATAGTCTTTATTTTGTGCCAGCAAAGGTCCCTAACCTTTTATAAATATGCACTTGAGGTCCATCTGGACGAAAATCGTTCAAACCACTAATATCCAATAAAATCGTTCAAAACATCATCATATAAGGTATCAACATCCAATAAAATCGTCGTAGTAACAGATAGTTCAGGGAATTTTCTCAGTCAACTGACGGTGTTTTGAACGATTTCCGTCTAGATGGACCTCGAGTGCATATTTATGAAAGGTTAGGAGCCTTCGCTAGCACAAAATGAAAATTAGGGTAAAATCTACAAAAAAATGAAAAGGTGAGGATAGCTGCTGCAATTTTCCCTTAATCTAATTATAAAACCACCCACCCCAAATCCTATTTATTTGCTATCTCCATTCTCTCTTTACATTCCTCTCCCTTCTCTCTTCTTTTTATTATATACTACCAGATCACCGTTGGAGACAATACCGCGCTAGAGACAACGCCGCATCAACAGCGACTGTAGCATGACACCGGCATTTGGTGATCACCTCTGTTCCTTTAGCGCTTTTGTGCCTTCGATGCAACACAACCACAATATTCGACGATTTTATTTGTTCGAAGATTGCCTTTGAATCTGAGTGTTATAATGGTGATCAAACTGGTGGTTTTTGTAGTGTTGGTGGTGAGGTTGTGGATTTACTGTGGAGGTGGCGGGGTGATGGTGGTGGTATAGTGGTTGGTTTCTGTTTTTGTGAGTTTTGAGTGGATCTGGCAGTTAGGGTGGGTTTGGATGATGTTTTGTATGGTGGTGATGGTGTTTGTGTGGTGGCGATTTTGTGGTAGCGGATCTGACGATTAGGAAGGGTTTTACTGAATTTGGCGGTAGTTTAGGGGTGTTTTTGGTGTTGTTGGGGGATTTTAGGTGGTTTTCGTTGGTCGCGTAGGTAGAGATACTGGTAGCGATGGTGAATCTGGTAATGATTTTATTGGTGGTGCTGGCGAACGTGGTGGCGGCAGTGACAGTGTTAGTGTTGTGGTGGTGGCGGCTAGGGTGGTCACAAGTGACAATGGAGGTAGTGTTGGTGGCGATGAACCAATTATTTGATTACATGTGACCAAGTATTAAACTGCGATCTTAAAATTTAATAATTTGTGACCAACAAATTTGAAAATTTGTGACTTGTAATTTTTTATTTGTTACCAATGAAATAAATTGTGATTTAAATGAAATAAACTGTGACTTACAAATTTTTTTATTTGTAACCAATTAATTTGACAATATGATCAGTATAAAATTTGTGATCTATAATTACGTATATGCGATCATTAATTGTATATTTGTGACCTTATTAAATTTTATTAATAAATATTTTTAATTAAGGAAAAATTGCAGCAGCGGTCCCTAACCTTTTTATTTTTTGCAGACTTTACTTTAACCTTCATTTTGTATTAGTGAATGTCCCTAACTTTTCATAAATATGCAATTGAGATCTATCTAAATGAAATTGTCCAAAACACCGTTAGTTGATCAAGAAAATTTCTTGAACTATCTGCTACGATTTTATTGGATAATGATACCCTTTTAGACGGTATTATGAACGATTTTATTGGATGTTGATTCTTTAATTTTTTTGGTCAACTTACGGTGTTTTTTATGGTTTCGGTCCAGATGGACATCAGGAACATATTTATGAAAGGTTAAGTATCTTTGCTAGCACAAAATGAAGTTTAAAGTAAAAAGTCTGCAAAAAAAATGAAAAAGGTTGGGGACCCCTACTGCAATTTCCCCTTTTATTAATTAGCTAATACCTATGTTTTGCATTTTGAAACTTGACGCCTGAAAATTGAATTTGTCCTACGTAACCCCTGACCTTTGAAAATACCACACTGCACTCTATCATTTGTCAATTTAAAACATGATCAATACTTTCATCCATTCTTTTTCCTTTCACAACATTTATGTAATCCATTATGTACAAATAACAAATTTCATATTTTATTGTGTGAATGCGTGGTTAAAAGTGAACATGTAGAAAAATGAATTTTCAAATAATGATTGTCAAATAGGGGCATAGTAGGTTTTGATAAAAATTAATAAAATATGTGGTTGAAAAATTGTAAACCTATAGAAGTGTGGTTAAAATTAATTATTGATTTTGATTTAAATTTTAACTAACTTTTTTAGCTAAACAAAATAGGAGCTATATTTGTCTTTCGAGAATATTATGTTTATATAGTAAAATTGCCAAAATAACTATATACTTTGATAGAGTAAAACACCAATATCATGTAAGATAAATGATAAATAAAAATTATGAAAAAATAAGTAAATTGCGTTAACCATTGAATCCCAAACAAGTAAAGGGTAAAACTATCTAGATTTCATTATATAACTTGAAATAGACAACTAACAACACCAAATTATTAGAAATAATATGGGGGAACAAATTGCTTGAAGGCAACTTTCCCAAACTTCTTCACACACGCCCTCACGCACCATCAACAACTTTAGCGCGTGGTCTCTATGCTCTTTCGCCGATGACACGTGCCTAAATGCTGACACCATTTCCATCTATATGTCATACTAGTGGTCTTCGTTCGTCTACTAGGTGAGTGGTCTGGCCGAAAATCAAGAAAACAACCTCAATTTTTCAATAGCATTCTGGACAGTTTTTTGATCTATTTTCTGCTTTGACTCGGCAAGTTTGTTGGTCCCTTTTTGGTAAGGTTTTTAGCCAAATCCACCATCTTGAAACTTTGATAACAATTGTCATGAAAGTTCGCTCCAAAGATCTTTTTAATGGTGTTTTTTGGGCTTAGTTTCACGTTATATTTATCTACCAAACAGTCAATACAAACGACTTCAACCTACAACCAATATTTACCTAGTTTGCTTCTCAATCTTCTCTACAAAGAACAAGATAACGGCATTGATTTTTAGCCACGAATACAAGAAGAAAAATCAATGAAAGTAGGCACAAGAGGAGACCAAAAATAGAGAAGGAAGACATTGATTTTTGGGCACGATATGCATTAAGGTTTTCTGCTCTGTTCCATATACACAAATCACACACTTAGACTACTAGGTCAAAGCAACATATATATAGGAATATGTTAGGTTTTATTTGGACCAGTAAAATAATTAAATGGGTCAAGATTCAAAATCATTCTATAGGTAAATATATGGGTCGTGAACAATATTAATTTCTTAAACTACTTTCAATAGTCCACTTTATTTCAAGTCGAGCTTTTGGACTTCTTGTCGTAATAAATTCACTATTTGGCCGAGGCCTGTGAAATTATATTATGAAGTTTACG